ATCTATGTGTACTAAATCATTGCTGTCGTCTTTAGAAGATTGGGCAACTGCAATGCATTTTGCTTACTCTTTTCAGCTGGCTCAGTTACTCAGTTTTCTCATGGCCGTGATGGACATGCTTTGCTTGGGTTTCTTTGACTTTGCATAAACAAAAATTGCCACAGTGTTTACAGTTGCTACTCAATCAGTTTTGTTTTAGTAGAGGTTTTACGGCGTTCTCGACTGCATAAGGTCATATGAGCGCCAAGGGGTGGATGTCAACAGAGAAGTCCTTAAAGGGAATCTGACTTACTCTGCTCACCTCTCTAGCTTCAATAGCACAAAGTTTGCTTCAACTATCAAGGCCAAGGCACCCCAGAAATAGCGGGTCACAAGAGTGTGACAAACATACCAAAGAAGTTGAGGAAAAATGATGATAGTAAGGATTAGGAAAGAAAAAGCAGCAGTTTCCTGTTGCAGGTCAGGCACAGTTATGAGCATGACATTGATAAATCAGCCAATTTACAATTACAATTCTACTGTGCATAAGATTAAGAACTCGAGGTGATGATGTCCCCCCTTTGGGAATGGCCTAAAGACACTTCAGTCAGCAGCCTACTCAATCAAGTTGACCATCAAGAGGACAATCTCAGGCTCAGTCTCTGGGCCCCTAATGCTGCTGCTACACTCACATTGACACTTGGTTGCTGTCACATGAAGAATGAAAAACTGCATTTGTTTCTGCCCGATTGGGTGGGTAAAAAAGCATTTATTGACAGCACCAGAGCACAGATATAAGTATAAGTGGTGATCTATGAATGCCACTGATTGTTTCAGATTTTGTGTTTGACGAAGGGGGAAAATTGTTTTGGGTCTCTCATTTTTCTTGTGACAGGAACAACATATTGATAATTTGTTTTTTTCTTTACAGCAAACCCCCCCCCCCCCCAATCATTGCACATTTCAAGTTCTCAGTGACACAGCTGAAATTGAAATGAAAACAGTGACATCTAAACTAACAATAGCATCCTGTGTTTCCTTCTATTTGAGTTCAGTCCTTATCATATGTTTTGATGTCTCACAAAGACTGCCTTTTTTCCCATGAAAGTGTCAGTAGATTTTGAATTAATGTTTTGTTTGTTTACACTGATTGAACCACCAACATTCTTGATTTTTATTTTTGTTTTTGTTTTTGTGTTGTACATTTTGGCTCTTGCCAGAAAAATGAGTTACCGGATTGAATTTTATTTAACTTAAAATAAATTGTGTTCAGAAGACTAAAAAAATAGAATAGAACTACAGTTTGGGATAGTGAAAGTAAAAGCTTAATAATGTATTTAGTTTTTGTTGTTATTGTCCGTATTTAGTAATGATGTATGTTGCTGTTGCTGCTTTAGATGTTTGCGAGGTTCTATGTTTTGATGTTATTCTGGGAAACATCCTGTTTATAAATTCATGAAAATTCATCTCAGTTCCATTCTCTTCCCGCTACTGACTATTGAATGTAAAAAAATATTTTCCCTGTCGTTTTATGGCTTGCTGATGTCCTGTTTCCAAAAAAATGAAACGAATATACTGTTGACCTTTTTTTTGTAGGGCATTATTTTCTGAAAAATCCCCCAACTATCTGAAAGTTGTGAAAGCATGTTTGTCGTGGTCTTAATTGTACATACAATAGTTTGTTTCCTAAATGAAAATAGAAAGTATGTGCTAAATGTAAGAGTAAGAGTACATTGTGGTTGTTGACTTTTGCCGTCAGCCCCCCCCCCCCCCCCCCCCCCAATCTCCCCTCTATTATTATGTTATTGCTTGCTCGCGCAGTGATAATCGTGTCAGATATCTACAGCCTCCAGTGATTTCATAACATTGAATGCAATCTGAATAGAAAGTAAAAATGTTGGCAATTGAATATTTTTTTTTGGTATGTACCTTACTTTGAGTGTGTTTGTGTTATTGTTTGTGGTTGGAGGGTGCTATTGGTACATCTTACTTCTTTACTTTCCCTTTGTTGTCTATCTCGTCTTTTTCCTGCACTGAGTGACTTAAGGCATTAAATGTGCTTTTCTTTTTACTAAAACCGTTTTTGACATAAGTTCTGGTACAAGTACTTCAAGTACAGTTGAAATTGTCGAAAGCAGCCACCCATTGCCGAGGAGAAAAATGATTGTCTCAGACGATGGGTGGTTGGCGGGTGCTCTGGTGTGGTTTGCCCCTTCTTTCCAAAATAACATCTATTGATTGTGTTGCAAGTGCTGTAAAACACTTACTAAAATTAAAACATCTATTGTCCTTATCTCTCCTCCCTTTCTTTGTTTGTTATATTCTCTTGTAACACTTACTTCTAATCTTCAGCACTTCCTTATTAAGGCAACTACATAGACATGAAAGGACACTGCCCAAGGCAGTGAAGTTTTAAAAATCCCCCCAATGAAAACCATTGCGTCCCACATAGATAAAGCTGTCTTTGAAGACGCATCAGTGAGGAGCGGCACTGACGGTTCTCGCAGAATCTAAGCTTTATTCTTTCCAAGGCCGTCTAAAGCTGTCTGTGGTCTGTCTACAAAGAGGCTTTAAATAGAGCTAGAGGTCTCAGCTGTGACATCAGGAGTGTCAGAGTGACGCCATAGCTGAGAGGATTAGAAAGCCAGTCGGTACACTATTACTTGCAAGGAACGCACAAGTAAAAACACTATAGTGGGAATAGTAATACAATAGTACAGTGTAGAACTATACAGAAATAACAATAGCACAAAATTGTGCAAACAATTGTGAAAAAGAGAGTAATTGCAGCTTTCACAAGTTGGTTGTTAGTTAGTGAGAGTAAACATATTATAGCTTCTTTACTTTCGTCTGCGCGCGCGAAAAAAAAATTCCATCTCATTTATTCATTTAACAATACAGAAATAATTTTGCATGGCACTCTTGTGAGCCAGCAACCAAACTTTTTTTTTGCTTTTAAAATCTTGACCCAGCAATAATCATTGAAAAAATATTCTTTATTTGGGCCCTGTCTTGCACACTGCCCTTTTGGTGCATATACAGGGCCATTATGTTGGTGTTCAATAACCTAGCATAAAAACAATTGCTCTGCTTATTTGTTGACTGCGATACCGCCCTGATCCCCACATTTCAGTGCTAGCTAGAAGATTTCAATTTCATCCCACGGCTGTCAAGACGTCTCCACGAGAGACTCGTAAAATACCCACCCGTCCGTTGGGTCGTGTTTCATAAGGGTGCGTAAAAGTGGGGTGTTGATGAAAAAAAAGTAATCTTAAACTTAAATTATTTAATATTTTAGATGTATGCTATACTCTATAAATCCCCTCTTATTTTTAAAAAAACCCGTTTAAGTTCAATATCAAATAAAATGTGCCAGGAGCTTGGTTTGCCTTGACCTTCATTAATGAGCCTTTTGATTCTGTTGTTCATACAACTTTTAGACCTGCATGCCAAGACCTGAAAAAATTAATAGTCCGACTCGTTAACATCTTGTTTTAACACGAAAATGAATAAGCTGTACTATAAATGTATATATATGTGTGTGTGTGTATATATATATATATATATATATATATATATATATATATATATATATATATATATATATATATATATATTATAATAATAATAATAATATTTTTAAAAAAATATATATATCATGCGGTCTCTCTCATAATTTTTCCATTGCGATTTAGCACTAGTAATAGACTAAACGGTTCTGGGCGAAATATGAGGTAAAAATGTCTCTCTCACCCTTAGCATTATTAGAGGGTCTTCCAGCAAGCTCTCATGCCACATTCGATCTCGAGAATGACACTTCAGTAAGATTTTGCGCCTTCCCTAATGTCTATTATGGTGTTATGAAGAAAGCATACATGATAATAAACGACCGCGTGTAACAGCGTTCTCTATGTGGGGTCAAGCAGGCACTTTTCAAAGCTTAAGCCGCTGAAAGCCGGGCTGTTAAAAGAATGACCTCGAGAGGCTTTTTCTTTGTGGTCGTCTTAAGGTTGCAAGTGGCGTAAAATCCTTATAAAAACTAAACTATTAGACAAGTGGATGTCTTGTCATCATAATATTTAAAAAATGCAAGGGGGAATTGAGAGCGAGAGTTTTTACAGGTGATTGTCTCGGACAGGTGGCCATTAGAGCAGATTTGACTTTGTTTCACTGTGTCTGATGGAAGTCTTTTTGTACTGTTTGGCTAACTGAAGGATTAAAATACAGTCCGTACCGGCTATAAGCACGCCGGCTTAAAGCACGTTTCGGACTCAAGCACGCTAAACGGCTCTTACCGAATTTTTACTATATAAATGACACGCCTTGTTTGGCTTCAAGCACGCTTCATTTACAAGACAGTCAATATTTTCATGATGACCCATCGAAGTTCGAACACAGTCTACACCGCAGCAGTGGAGTGTGTCAAGAGGAACACAAAGAACGCAAGTGACTGACACACACACTCACACGGGCGGAGAGGAAGGCAGATGCACACAGCCGCGTGCGCGGACATATGATCAAGCCTAGGCCTAGGGCAAAGCTACACACGACCAAAAAAAATACAAAGAGAGTCGGGGAGACGAGAAAGGGAGGCTGGCTGCGATTTCACCTTTGACCCTCAGTATCCATTAATCCTGATTGTGTATCACGCGCGAGGTGGGATGAAGGCCGTGGTATGAGTGGCACAGCGGGCAGTGGTACGCACAGGCAGTGAGTAGGCCTAGTGTGCTGTATCATGACTGGCCGTCTAAATTAAGTTTTCATTTCCCATTCGACCACGCCACAAAACAAAAACAAACAAGCGAACCATGGCGGGTGTCTAAATAACAGTGCACACTTTTGCGGGACCGCTATAGGCCTACTTACAAACAAAGGGAAATAGCACGGGAAATTTTCTACATGAAAATCTCTGGATTATGTCTACTTCGCACTCAAGCACGCTTCGGCTTTAAGCATGCTTAAGCTTTCTCCCGACGAACGTGCTTAAAGCCGGCATGGACTGTAACAACATGACAAGTGGGTAAAATAAATAAATTTTTCTTTTTTATTCTTTGCTTTTCATGATCAAATACCATGGACATGAAGCTGATTGGCCAAGAAACAAAGTGGAGCAATAATGAACCCGTCAACAGTTTTACCATATCAGACTTTTTCGGCATAAAGTGCAAGATACAAAAAAATAGAAAACTTTCATACCACCACAAAATCTCTAAAAAGTTTCACATCATCACAAATTCTCCAAAGAATGAGTACACAGTAAAGTAGACACTACTAATCTACTTTTAAACTTCAAATTTATGAATAGAAGCTAGTAAGAAGAAACTGGACTCGCACAACAGTTCACAACAGACTTCAACTATAATGCAACTGTTAATTTTCAGAGGCACTATTCTGAAGCCCTTTTAATAGGTCTTTCTACCTCCAACTGAAGCAACTCTACCAAGAACATAAACTGCCATGGCCAATGAATACAATGAATCATGAACAATCAATACAAAGGCACAGCACTAGATAGTATGTCATGGTTGACTTGCCCAAATTAAATAGTTTCCAATCAAATGGGAGAGCAGGTCATGTTTCCAAACCAATCTCAACTGTGAAAGCAGTTAAATTACTGCATCCTCTTATCATCTTACACAAAACCTAAATGCAAAACAAATGCATGAAGAAATCTCTCTCATTCCATCAAATGCTGAAACTAAACAGAGAGCATTATCAGGCATTTATTTCTCTTTTGTAAAATTGTCAGTCGTAGCACAACTGCCACAGTGATTTTTTTAGGACTCGTATTACTGGTACATTAACCTGCCTAGTGTCAACGACCTATTAAATTGGCCATTATATTAATAATATGAAATCACTTTCAGTTTGTTTTTCCATTTTTTAATACTATACACATCACCAAATATTTCAACTCCTTCATAAATGAGCTCTAATTCCTATTTGCATTCTTAATTTTATGGCTTTTGCTTGCTTGGTTTGCCTGTTCTCAGGTGTTTTTCAGCATACTATGGTCAAAACATAATTTTTCCAGACACCATGGGCTTTGTCAGCAATGATTGGAGGGTTAAAAGTGCCTGTTACTTGTTTCATTTCATGGACATGCAAAGTTGTTTTTTTTTTCATGATTATTTTTTGTTCAAGTTGTTAGGTTGACCTGGGAAAGCATTGTTCTTTAAAGTTTCTAAAAACAAAACAACAAAACAACCTAGGCAATAATGTGTTATGACAATGACAAAACATTGTGCCCAAGCCGGCCTGCCATTTCGCAACTGACACCATAAACATTCAACGCACACATGCACACACACACACACATTCAAACAGCGATGGACATCACTTCCTGGCAAAGAAGGCCATGATGGCGTTCATGCACTCCTGAGACTGCCACCTTTCTTCCAATAGTTCCGCCTCAGCCTCGTTCACCCGGCGTAGAGTCTCCAGCTCTGAACTTCGGTTGAGAACCTTGGAGAGCCTCATGCTCTGTAAAGGGAGAACGTTTAGTTTTAGTAAGGGTTTTACTGCACTTGAAACACGACTAGGTCAATTAAGTGCTAGAGACTAGAGGTGTTACAAGCGAGTAACAAACAAAGAAGAAGGAAGAGAGATAAGGATGATGGATGTTTGATATGATTCATGAAAGAAAGAGCAAACCACACCAGAGCACCTGCCTACCACCCACAAGGGAGATCAAGAGGTCATCAAAATACCAAAGAACAACACAGGGAAATTAGTAGGACTCAACGTTGAGAAAAAGATTTTGGAGCAGTGAAGTACAGTCTGTGCCAGCTTTAAGCACGCCGGCATAAAGCACGTTTCGGACTCAAGCACGCTAAATGGCTCTTACCAAATTTTTGCTGTATAAATTACACGCCTTTAAGCACGGTAACTTCGGCTTCAGGCACGCTTCATTTACAAGACAGTCAAAACTTTCATGATGACCCATCAAAGTTCGAACACAGTCTACACCGCAGCAGTGGAGTGTGTTAAGAGAAACACAAAGAACGCAAGTGACGGAGACACACACTCACACGCCTGGAGAGGAAGGCAGAGAGATGCACACAGACGCGCGCGTGGACATAGGATCTAGCCTTTGGCAGTTGGAAAAGCTACATACTGACCAAAAAAATACAAAGAGAGTCGGCGAGACGAGAAAGGGAGGCTGGCTGCGATTTTACCTTTGACCATTGCTATCAATTAATCCCGATTGTGTATCACGCGCGAGGTGGGATGAAGGCGGTGGTATGAATGTGGTACGCACAGGCAGTGTGTAGGCCTAGTGTGACTGTATCGTGACCGGCCAGTCTAAATTAAGTTTTCTTTTCCCATTCGACCACAAAACAATAACAAGCAAGCAAACAAAAACTACAAAGGTGGGTAAAGTAAAAATAACAGTGCACACTTTTGCGGGACCGCTATAGGCCTACTTACAAACAAAGAGAAGTAGCACGGGAAATTTCCTACATGAAAATCTCTGGATTATACATATATATGTATCTACTTCGCACTCAAGCACGCTTCGTCATTAAGCACGCTTAAGCTTTCTCTCGATGACTATGCTTAAAGCCAGCAAGGACTGTACAACAATTTACATTCTTCGGAAAAAGGCAAAAACATTTATGTTTTGAAAGTGTGCCCATTGTTCAGTTGGAACCATGCTAATGCAAGTCAACCATGCAGATGATCCTGGTTCCAATCCCCAATGGGACCCGCTTGAACTTGAAATGTTGGAAGCTTTTTAAGGCTGCCCACCGACCTGGCTCGCAAGACAGACTAAAAAGAAGGAAGAGGCTTTGTAAATATGAAAAATGCAGAAAAGAAAAGATTTAGTTTTAGTTTTGCTAAGAGTTTGAACTGCATATAAGTGATGAAAATTAGAAGTATTACAATACAACACAGCAACAAACACAAAAAAAGATGAGAGATAAGGACGACAGAGATGTTTTATAGGAAGAAAGGAGCAAATCACATCGGAGCACTTGGAAACCACCTACAAAAGAAAATAAGGCAGAGAAAAATACACGAATAAATATCATATACAAACGTCTTACCATTAGATACTTCTATACATTACTCAATCATAGGAAGGGTTGCCGGTGAGTACTGTGTCAATTTGGTACCCCCAAACTCTTGGGATGGGGGGGAGAGGGGGAGCATATTGTATTGATAGAGTGTTTTACTCCCCCATCAATGCAATTTACATAATCTAGGAGGAAGGCTTCTTTGACCCGACCTGTCAGGACTAGTGCGAGACATGAGTGGGATACATCACCTCATCAGACAGACAGAGGTGCTTGATAAAACAAGCTCTATGGCAGTCTCTAAGATTTGAAGCGGACTGCACAGTTTGTGCGCAGCATCAGACTGACTGTCTGGCTGCTGTCATCGAGAACAAGAAAGAAGAAGAAGAAGATAAAACAACTTCCACTGAGACTCACTTTTTCTGGATGAAACAGTGAGGAACCTAATCATTACACAAGGAGTGTAGGAGGGGGACAGACATACGCAAAATCAACGACAGAATCAAAGAGCTTTACCTGAGGTGGGAACTTGGAGTACTGCTCTATCCTTTTGGCAGTCTCTTCTTGGAATTTATCATGAGGGATAACTTCCGACACTAAATTTCTGTCGAAGGCTTCCTGAGCATTTATTTTCTTATTGAAAATAAGCAGTTCATTTGCCTGTTGAAAAAAAAAAATAAAAGCATTAATAAGGACAAAAAGAAACAACCATTCATCAAGTGATTACATGAAATAGACTAATAATTTTCTCATAGAGCCCGACAACTCATTTTGAGACAACCGCATTAGAAATAAATCTGTTTCACACAATTATTAATGATAGAATATTCATTTCGATCAACTTTAAGTTTAAGTGGTAAAGATGCTTTATGTGTGCATGTGAACATCGCAAAAAGGATCCAGTAAACTTATAGTCATGATGGAGGAAACTTAAGTACAGTGGAACCCGCTTTCAACGAACTGGGACACAATGAAAACTCGGATTCAACGAAAGGAGTTGGATTCCCCGTTTTTTTAATTCATAAAAATAACTCGGATATAACGAAAACATAAATGAGCAAGCTCGGATTCAACGAAGTCGCTTGCAGGGTGAACTGCTTTATGCTACCAATCAGCGGCCTCCTTTCATACCAATACACGCATTATTATCGTTCACCCATGTCTTAGCGTGTGCCCCGGTCGGATGGGCAGCCAGTACACATGTGACCTGTGACTGTGCACGCGTGTGTCTTGGGGGATGGGGGGAAAGGGGTACAAGAGGTGCGGGCGTGAAACATCAATAGAGATCATACAAATGCGACACAGTTATTTTTCCCCAGCTAGATCAATATTACAAATTACAATAATAAGCTAATCAGTGGTGACGAGGCTCTCACACTCACAGACCTCCGTATTTTGGATAAATTTTTACGCTTACTCAATTTTTACACGGTCTTGTGATCTTCCTTTTGCTAAATGTAAAAAAGACAAAGGAATTAATAATAGACTTTAAAGTAAAGAAAGACCAATTGCAACCACTATTTATTAAAAATGAGGAGGTGGAGGCGCTAAGGTCTTACAAGTACCTTGGTGTATCAATTGATAACAAACTTGACCGGCATCCCCATGCTGCTCTAGGGCATAAAAAATTAAATAAAAGAATGTTCCTTTTAATGAAATTAAGAAGGTTCTGTGTTGATAATTAGATTATGTCCCTTTTAAACCATTCTATGATTAAAAACATGCAATTATTTTGTATTTGCTGCTGGGCATGGAATTGTAGGGTGAAAGATAAAGAAAAATTTGACAGAACCATTAAGAAAGCCAGCAAGATCTCTGAATAATATTTTACTGGAATTGATGAAATGCATAACACAACAAGTATAAAAAAGGTGAAAAAGCATTATAAACGACCCATTACACACCCTTTCCAAGCAAATTGTCAGATCACGCAGCAGCATGAATGTACCTCTAAAAACAGGTAAAGAAAGATATAAAAGTTTTTTTACCATCTTGCATTTATAAGGCTATTGTCAGAATAAGCATATGCTCTTTAGAGTATGTATCTATATAACTCCAAAGGCCTTGTAATTAAATTCCTGCATGTGGTTGAATCATGCATCTGATGTAATATGTAGCCTACAATTTGTCAGCTTTACTTCTCTTTTCATATTGAATTTTAATAAGAGTAATATATAATTTAAATTTATGTGTACCAGCATGTGTCTTTATGGTCCTGTACAGCCAAGAAAAATTCCCCTTTGGGATAAAAAAAGTATTATCTTATCTTATTTTAGATCTATGAAATGAATTGCACGCTGGACTATGGAATCACACGCTGCCGTAGGCTACATTATACACAGCAACATAACTTGTTTGCCAAACAATATGTTATAGATGATAGATGACACAGCCGTGCATTTGAAGGAATCGGTCCTTTTTCACAGAGTGTGCTTAGTAGAGTTCAGTGTATTTTCCTGGAATTTTCCAGTATTTCATTGGCATCAAAGAGACGCAAATGTCTCTCATTTGAAACCAAACTATTTTTTATTAAGAATTGCCTTGTGCCTGCGATTATCTACAGAAAAACCTCAGTTTGCTATACTATAACCAACACTCGGATTCAACTAAATTAAAGGCCAGGCCCGACGACTTCATTGAATCAGAGTTCCATTGTATGCCTACATAATATACTTTGTATCATTTAGATTCTAAAAAAGGGGTTCAGTAACTCATAGCAGTATATCAAGCTGAACTATGCAGAAGTATTGTAATAGTTTTTGTACCACTTCAGAAAAAAAGAAACCTCAGCATAGTTGTATTCAAGCCTAAAAAACAAGACCACAAAGAATTACAGATAATGTTTCGGGTATAAACCGCCTTCAACAGATACATGTCTGAAATGTGGAGTACATTTCTTTTATTTGAATTTCTGAGGCTTGATTACGACTACTTTTTGATTTCTCATACTAAAGTGATCAAACACCTTGCCGTTTCAGAAGTTGCAATAAAATGTAACTGTGTAAGTTTCAAGCCCCAATATTTACACTATTTAGATCATGAAGAATGTGGGCTGCTTTGACACTGACTGTCAGGATCAACCCAGGCTGAAAAGGATAAAATATCACAGCAGAAAGATATAGAATAGAAACTTAATAAAAATTCTATCCATAAGGGAATCAAACACACGACTCCTGTGTGCAACAGCAAAGTGCCTAACTGCTACACCACAGACACTGATGGGTCAGTATTCCCTCAAAGAAAAACACCCAAAGTTAAAAAAACAAAACAAGTGCAAACAGCTAAAATTTAATACATTTTTCAGAGTAGATGTTTGACATTTGACAAAAACATTTGAAGGGCTTTAAGACACATGGGATTATCTCTAAGATTCTGGCTTCCGTTCATTTCTTGTTAGAAGCAAGCAGGATCTTGGACTCCAATGCTGCTTTCATATTGTTACAAGATAATTCCATACTGTCTTGATTTAGTTTGTTATTTCAACAGCATACATATCATGAAATCAAGTTGGTCTAATCAGTTTCTTTTTCCTCATTTAAAACAAACTTTTTATACATAACACATTTTGTCATAAAGCCTTTCATATGTGGTACACACCTTGGCAGGACCCATGATCTTGGGGAACGTGTAGGACGAGCATGCCTCTGGCGATTGACCCAGGTTGGAAAATGGGGTTTGGAACGTTGCCTGGAGAATTAAAAAAACAAGAATTTTTAGCACGCCGGGTAATTATTGTGCTCTTTATTAGCCCCCCCCCCCCCCCCCCCCCCCCCCCAAATCCATAGTATTCTGAAGATCAAATGTACAAGTGTGTGGTGTGATACCTTTCCGTGATAAAAGACGAGAAACAGCAAGCAAATAGTAATTAATCAAAAAAAGGAACTAAACCAATTTTTTTCATTTTTCCTTTCACAAGATATGAACAAAATTACCCTTCATTTCTGATTTTACAGCCTGTGTAAAAATAATGAGTACTTATCTTTTTCACATTGCATTTAATCTTCAGACACAAAATCCATATTTAAAGAATGAGGAAGTGAGTAGGAAACAGAAAAAAAGTGACGTGATAATAGCCGCCCACCCCCACCATGACATCACAGACTCTAGATATAACATTTTCAACATCAGTGCCAAATCTGAAACGGACATCAGCGATCATGGTTGGCCACGTAGTTGCTTGTTTGTGCTAAAAAAAATAAACCCATGTGGTTCTGATCTTTCCCCCATTAACCATCTGTTCAAATTTTTAAAGTAAATTGTTCATGGTCTACCCCTCCCTCTTTTGCCTTCTGTTTCCTGTGACAACAGGATATTCAAGTGTCTCGGAAACTGCATTTTTGTCTCTTCCTAATTGTTTTTTTTATATGTCAGCGGCTCACTCGTGATTTTTTTCAATTTTACCTTATTTGATTATTACATCTTTTCCTTCGTTGAAATTCTCATCAGTCTTCTGAGAAACCACATTTTAACAACCAAAATTATAGTACTTACTTTATCAGAGCAGTAGACAGCATCACACAAGCCTAGAGTGGTCACACTGATCCCGACGGCTGGACCATTTACAAGGGAGATTAGTGGCTTGGGGAAGTCAATGAATGCCCTCACAAAGTCTCTGTAATATAAAAAAATTACTTTTGTTTATGTGTATCACTCCCATCCATACAACCAAGATCATGGCTTAATTATTATTACAATAAAATATAGGTGTTTACACCCCCGACAACATAATTCAGGTCATGACTTCATCAGAGTCAAAATGAAATAACCTAGAGCAAGAGAAGTGTTTTAGGATAAACATAGCTATGAAAGACCATAACTTACAAAACTCAAACTAAAAATGTATTTTAACCCCATCAACACAATTGAGATAATTCAGGAGGCAGGCTGCTAGGACCCTGTCTGTCAAGGCCAAACCTGGCTTAAAGAGATAAAATGTCTCAGCGGACAGGCGCAGACACTTAATAAATTTCATCACTCAGGAATCAAACTCATGCTTTCTGCATGTAATTGTGAATTGCTACACTACTGGTAAAAGGTTGTTGTGCTGAAGCAGACATGAGTGAAAATATTGAACGTTCTTCATCAGGGTTATAATCCAAAAAATCAAGCTCTTCATCACTATCGGTGTCCATGGCAACTTAATGAAGCACTTTTTCATAAGAGAGAATGAGTTTTTGAACCATTTTCAAGCTAAAACAAAACTTTCACTAACGAAATTTGGCACCAATGGCAAGTGAGGTCATGCAATGGAAGTAAAAAAAACGTTTTTGGAAAACTAAGATAAGTTTTGGAAACATGAAGTGGCTCACATTCAAATACCCCGAAATACAATACATACTTTTTAATTTTAACTGAAATTGTTTGGGTATAGCATTCATCTCAACTCTGAAGATATAAGAAGTGGCACCAGCTACACTTACAACTCCGATGAGACAAATAAGTTGGTGGCAAGCCTAGAAAACTCTCCAAAAATCCCACGTTCAAGAAAGCCCTGGGGACGATTCAAACCAGGCCACAGCATAGTTTAGGACGTTACAGATTGACCCAGCAGCATGCCCCTTATGACACACACACACATAGATACACACAGTGTGACAGTGACATGGAGACCCACCATTAGAATTTAAATATATCAAGGTCATCAGCCAAGGATGTCTAGGAACAAACCTACAATCACTACGCAATGTGAAAGAAAAATAAAGATCAAAACTGGCAGATAAACCTTCTATGATTAGCCTATGTGAGAACTTATCTTGCTTCATGAGGCACTTTGACTGAAATATTAAGACACATACATGAGAATATATCTTGCGTCCTTAGCCATCTTGGGGATCTGGTCCGGAGTGACATTCGTGAAGTTGGACAGGTCATTTCCACTGCAGTAGTAATCACCAGCACCTGAAATGTATTCCACAGGTTTCTTTTGTTTTAACAACAAACGTCATCCTGACAATAATAGACAGTATTTGTATAGCACAAATTCCCATAGTCATAATACTCAATTCATAAAAGCTATTAAAGGAGTGAGCAAATACCGGAGTATCTGAGGTGCGCTTGTTATTACATGGGCCATGCAATATTCATTTGTTTGGATCATAAATGCAGCAGACAATGTGCACGTTTTCTTTTTCATAACTGTTTACTTACTTTTGCTCCCTCCCCCGCCGTATGTCTACATCTTTCCATCTCTCTTTGTAGTATACTTTCTCAGTATGTATCTATCTCCATCTCTCTCTCTTTCTCTACAAGAAACATTTTAAAATCATCTGTCTGATCTGTGCCCACACATCTATCTACATCTACCCATCTCTCTCTGCATCATCCACAACTATCTGTAGTTCTGTATTAGTCTCTGTATCTACTTTTCTCTCTCTTTCTCTCTGTATGTATCTCCATATCGATCTAGGCATCTGCACCTTTCTCTCTGTATGTACCTGTCTATCCGTCTCATCATCACTATCATGACACTATTCTAGCATCTGTGCTTGTCGCTGCCATGACCCGCGATTTTTGGCATTTTTGGGTCCACGAATTGCAGACCGTAATTTTTGCATTTTAAAAAAAGCAGCAACAAAACTACCACTGGGAATAAAAACCCCCCCAAAAACTACCACTGGGAATAAAACAAAAATACACATAAAAAAAAAATACAAACGAAAAAAAACGGGATTAAAAATCGAAAAAAAAAAGAAAAGAAGCCGACCCTCTTTACTTTAAGAAAGGAAGTTTATTTTTACTTCAGCTTCACGCTTAACTTCATCTCTTTCTCACAAGTTGACACCACGCTGATTTATTATTTTCATGTGAAGAATGTAAGTACATCACACACTATCAATTATATATTGCTGTTGCTTTTTTATTTTTCCCTCTTTGTCGGGTTATAATTTGTGGGTGTGTTAATTTTGTTCCCTTATTGTTCTGATGTGTTGTTTTTCTGCTGTTGTGTTTATATAGCGTGATGTCATAAAATTTGATGTTGTTCCTACCTTTTTAAAAAATATAAATATGTTATGTTAGAACATATGTCCGTGAAAACCGAATACTGACACTAGCAGGCCCTTTTAGTGTGATTCGATAAATTACATACATGTAATATCCTGTACTTTTTCTTGAATTACACACATTTAGGGTTAAAATGGACAATCTTCGGATAGAAAGACACACGTCCTTATTCCCACTGAAACGTTAAATAAGTTACAGCGACTCCAGAACCAAGCTGGCATAATTTAAAAGAAATCTCTCAAAGAGCATATAACACCAATGCTAATTCAACTACATTGGCTCCCAGCGAAAGCACGAATTAAGTACAAAATAACTGTTCTTTGTTTTAAGTGCATCAACAACATTGAACCATCATATCTTTGTGACATGGTCATCGAATATATACCATCTCGGCCTTTAAGATCGGCGACGAAAAGACTTTTAAGACCTGCCCAAAGCAAAAGTCAGAGACTAGGAGGGAGAGCTTTTTCACATCACGCCCCCTCCCTGTGGAACGCTTTACCAGCTCATCTACGGGAGTCTATCACTTTATCAAAATTTAAATCAGCACTTAAAACGCGTTTATTTCAGTCCAGCTTCAATCTTTAATTTCCGACATTCCCAATACAAATATAATTATGTTCTCTCAGTATCGTTTATTCACGCTGTTCCGTTCTGTAAGAATTTATGACTGTGTGAATTCATCAATGCGTGCGAGGGTGTCTGGGTAAGCTTTGTGGGATTGTCTTTACTCAAGGATGTAAGAAAGAGAGAGAGAGAGAGAGAGAGAGAGAGAGAGAGAGAGAGAGAGAGAGAGA